TGCAGAACGGAAGGCACAAAGGAAAAACGATATCCAATGATTCTGTCGTTTTCCGCACTTGTGTTCTGTGCTTTCGTTTATTGGCTTTAATTGGATACTCGCAACATACGGAGGAGGAAATCACGGAGCTGACAAAACAGGCGACTGGTGACGCCTCGATTCTTGCTCGTGTGGCTTCTTTGCTGCTTCAAGCCATTGACAATCTTAACGGGACCGCGCTGCCGGTTGAGTCTCTCCAGTGGCGGTGTGTAGATCTCGCGGCGATGTCAGTGCCCATGTGTGCCGCTACTCCAGGCCTGGCTGGTTTTATGCAGGAGGTGCTTCAACAGTCAGAGGCCTCTTTGACTGTCATTACACCACTTAAGCAATATTACTACACCGTCCTGGATCGCCTCATGGGGGTGGCAGAAGCGAATGGCAACGGTGGCGCTGGGGCGCCGTTCGCCGAGTTGCGGGTGCAGATGTGGGAGAGGAAGAGGGGGGGTTCCCCCACGACCGAGAAGTCCATCCAGTACTTCCTTTGGTCAAAGGGTGGTGGCGCGGATGTACCCGAATGGCCGGGCGATCACAAGCTGCCCAACCGTCGGTACTTGATCAACACTGAGTGGCCGGACACAATGTGGCCAATTGAATTTGTGCCGCATTTTCTTGAGGAATGTCTTGCCCGCACCCAGGAGCGTATTCACGGCTGTGACACCACGGATTGCCCGAAAGAGGGATATTCCTCGCCGCAGTTCTCTCATGCACTATTCCACCAACTCTGCACGCTCTCTCCGCCTGTGCGGAACCATGCTTTGATAGCACCTTCTGAAACGACAGGGGCGGTGACGAAGAGGTCTGTGCCAACTCTTTCTCAGGAAATTCATGTCGGCAGAGATGGCAGGTTTCCCTCCAGTGTTGATTCTGCTTCTGTTCTTGTTGCGCCGTCAACAGCACGTTGGAAAACCTCACCTGAATTGAGGCCACTGGCGACGAATTCTCCACATGTTTCAGGGAACGATGATGCCTTGACAACTAGTTCATCGGCTTTGTCTTCGTCACCGGCACGAGTTGCACGTTCCCCTCCACGATTTTCAGTTAGCGGCGGTAGTCTTGGTGCTGCAGCCGCAGCCGCAGCGGCCAACGCGCTTTTTCCACCAGAAAGGGTTGCGTGGTGGGAAACTGAAGACACGTTCGATGAAGCTGCTAGACGGCAGAGCGCCATTCAGGAGACACTGAAGGATATAAACATTGAGATTACCACAACTGCTACGTCGTACACAACGGCGACTAGTGAAATTGAGATGCATTCTCCCGGAGAATTCGAAAAAAGCGCTCGTTCAATGAGTTTTTCACCAAACCGCTGCAAAAGACATAACGTGCATCACTATCGCTGTGCCAAACATCGATTAAATGGGATTCATATGAAGGAAAGGTATCGTTCTGGGAGTCGGTCTTGCCATGGACATACACGTTTGGTGCGGGAGTCATCTCACTTTATTTCATCGGCTGCACCCAAAGAAAAGGCGTTGATGAATTTTAAACTCCTGCAATTTAAAAATGTACTTCGACCCCCAGAGCTGCCATTAAGCATGGCCACAGAGGAAAGGGTACAACTTGTAGAACCAGGGATTCCAAAAGGTAAAGAAGATTTGACACCGCCTCAGCTACTCTCTCTGCGGGGAAAGCCACACATGCCTCGTGTGAATTTGTTCGCGTGGATCGGAGCTGAAAAGAACGAATCTGAGGGTGCGGGGAATGGCGCCGGCGGTAAGAATGAGCTAACGGCCCGATCACCTGGATTTCTTGCGGGGCAACCCCTTCCCTTGCGGACTTTGACGCCACCAGGCTTGCCGCCAAGTTCCGTGTTTATCAGTCCCTCTTCTTTGCTGACGCTCAAGGTTCCAGCAAATGCACATGCAACTTCACAGGAAACGGCTCCCCGGGCCATGGAGGCTAATCGAGCACAAGAAGAAGATCCTCGTGTTGTAGACACTGACGAGGCATTAGGTCCCATCACTTCTACTACCCTCAATGTCCTCGTCACTCCCGTTCCGTCCACAGTGCAGCAGAAAGTTCCCATTAATGTCACTGCCCCATTGTTAACGTCTATTTCTTATGAGACGATGCCACCGTCTTCTTCTGACGAGAAACACACTGGGCTCATGCGGAGTGGTGGTGCCGCATCCGTTCCCATAAGGAGGGAGGAAGAGGTGGTGAGGGAGTCATTAAAGCCAGAAGTGCCGTTGCCACCGACAATATCCCAACCTGTTGCCACACCTGCCGAAGGGAAAGTTCGTTCAGTGACTCCACTGAAGGAACCTGTTCTGTCACCCTCAGAAAAGGTTGCGTTTCAAAAGTACGTGGATGAGCTGAAGGCCACAGGGGCTGGCGCCGTCCCCGTGCCTGTACCGCCACCCAAGGTTAGAGAGTCTCCGCCTGCGTCAACAACGCCCATCAAAGCTTTGGGAGTTTCTCGAGAAGCTCCCGAGCTGCGAAAAGAGTATGATACCCTTGAGGTTGTGAAGGAACTACTCGCAAAGCACGAGGAACGGCAGGCGAAACATTTCCATGACGTCATCGAGACGATTCGAACAAGCATACAGAGACCCACATACTCCGAGGTGAATTCCCATTCTGCAGTTCAACCAACACAGGGATTGAGCGCCATGGAGCAGGCGGCGTTGGTGCGCCACACGATTCAACAAAAGGACAAGCTCTTGATGATGAACCAGGATCTACTGGAGCTTCATGCGCGGGCTGAGCGTCTTGTCGCTTCTCCAGTGAGCAAAGAGGCCCAAACATATGCTTCCACACGCACTGTCGCGGGTGGTGAAAACGCTCTTCCGGTGTCACAGTCAACAGTTCCTCTGGCTGTCCCTTGGCAGGGTGCTAATACGACCTCTACGACTAAAGGTGAAGTTGCAACCATGTCTTCTGGCGTCCAAGTTGGTGTGGGTCTGAAAAAGACGGACGACGCGACCACGATGGCGACGGCACCCTCCCCATCCCCAATACCACCAGCAACAGAACAGGCCGCAGCAGAAGCACCAACAGCACCGGCGTCTCAGATGATTCATGATAATCGCAATGTTATGACGAATATTGTTCCAGATCCTTCCTCGGCTATGAGCATCAATCGTAGCTTGTCAAGTCTTTACCAAATAAACGCAGAACTATTACGTGTTAATGCCACAGCTGCTGATATGGAACGAGCCATTCAGGAGTCACGGGAACTTTTACATAGGCACGCTTCCTTGGGTAACGCGCATATGTCTGCTGTTGAGGGTTCTTTGATGGTGGATGCGATGCGTCGGCGAACCGCTGCTCTCGAGCAGCAGCTTACAACAATGAACACCACCTCAGTGAAAATCCCGTATGGGGAAGACCAAAAGAGGGAGGGCGCCGAAAAGTGGCATGCCCCGTCCGAGTTGGAAAGAATTCCCAGTCAGCGAGTCCTTATTTCTCCAACCGTGGAGGGTGGCAGCACCGTGTGTGTTGACGAGGGGGCGACACGGAAGACATCCCCGCCTTGCCACTTTGTCTTCACAAATGAAAACATTGAGACTGAGAGCGATTCTCTGCTGGGTTTTGACCCACCGCCACCTCCTTCCGTTTCAAAACAAGAGGCCACAAGGCATATATTTCATTCCCACACGGAGGAAATTCTTCGTGGGGACCCGATTGCTGTTAATGCTGTCACCACGGAAGCAAAGGTTGTTCCCTCGCACACGTCAGCTTTTCTCTCGCGCGCGACAGATCCCGTCTCCGTTAACCGTGCCCAATCATTATCCGTGGACAGGAGAGGGAATTCTTTGCAGCCCCGCGGGAGCGGTTCGTCTTCAAGGCAGATGATGGATTTGGCTCAGCTTTACAAGGCGGCTGAGTCGTCGAGCATGAAGCTTACGCCCAGGAAGAGTGTGACTCCCCCCAGGACTCGGATGAGGGTAGTGTCGTCGCCAGAACCAGTACCGGAGCGACTTTCCATGTACATGCCAAGTACGGCAAAGACAAGGACACGGCGCGCGAATAGCAGTAGTAAGAGTATTTTGCATGCCTCTGAGCCACACCACCGTTCATTGTCAACGGAGGGGAAAGTACCAACAACAACGGCAGTCAAGGCTAACAAAACGGAGACAGCGATGGCACCCAAACGCAACAGTACAAAAGCTCCTTCATCTGGTAGAGAGAGCAGACGACGGGACACACTTGCGCTGCATACATCCAGGCGTCTTGCGGAGCTTCAAAGAGCTTTCTTATAGATTGATAGAATTGAGTGTGCAGGAAATGATCAAAGGCAAGGGAAAAAAGGAGAGAGGAGAAAGAGAGAACAGTGTATGGATTGAATTCTGTCTGTGTCTCTACGTGTTTCCCTTGTGTATTTGCCTGCAATATGAAACGAAAAACAAAACAAAAAAAAGCAACAACAAAAAACAGAGGAATGTTTGCTTTCTCTTATTCTTATGATGATGATGATGATGATGATGATGATGGTTGTTATTTATCGTGAATTGTTGTTATTATTTATTTATTTATTTATTGTTTTTTTTTTTTTTTTGGATGTTGAACGGGGGTATTGACATGTGATTTTTTTTTTTTTTTTTTTTTTAAATATTTGGCCTTCTTTTTTTTTTTTTACTTTTTCTTTACTGTTATTCTCCTCAGTTGCAATGACATTTGCTTTACTCTTCTTCTCTTCCACTTGTGGACTCTCCCCCTTTTTTTTTTTCTCTCTCTCTCTCTCTCACTACCTCATCAGTTAAGGGCTTACGCGGCAAAGGGACCCACGACAAGCGGTGTTGTCATCAACAGCGTTCATCTGGGAAGCAATCCGATTTCAAGCAAATAATAATTTACACACCCAATAAATTTACGCACGAAAAAAGGCTTTTTTTTTTTCTTTCTTTCTTTTTTTTTTTTTCTTTCAATTTTTTCTTTCTTTTTCTTCTTTTTTTTTTTTTTTTTTTGGTTTTCGCCGCACAGCCGGTATTTTTTTTTTTTTTTTTTTTCTTTTCGTGTGGATGTACGGTCAGCAGTTTCCACAAAACAGCCTTTATGGCACCCCTAACATGATGTCATACCACGGTGTGATGCAACCACCGATTTCTCCCCAGGGAACAGCTCCTGGCATGCTGTCAAACTACAATAACAACCCTAATCGTGGTGGATACGATGCCTCACAAGCCAACCGGAATATGGGACAACGCCAACCTCCGCGTCAGCGCAATAACGAAATTGGCGAGGTGAGCCGTGTTATTCATATGCGCAACATTACCCCCAACGTGACGCAGCTGAGCATTCAGAATCTTGTTCAGAACTTTGGAAATATTAAACACATTGTTATGCTTCGGCAGATGAACCAGGCACTTGTAGAGATGGAGTCCACTAAGAGCGCACAGCAGTTGGTGGACTTTTTCCGTCAAACAGGATATGCCGAAATTGATGGAAGACGTGTGTACATTCGCTACAGCAATCATCAGGAGCTTACTGCCACTCAACACACAAGCAAAACGCTA